TCAATGCACAGAAAAGACTTTTTCTAAGAGTCCCAACCAACGCCCTACATTTCTCCCCAAAAAAAAAAAGAATTAGAGCATATGGATCATGCTTGGTAAGTATGATTCTGAGATGTCACTAAACAACAAGAGACACTAAATGTTGGGTGGGGGGGGTCTCGTACCCATATTCGCAAGCATGCATACAACAACTCATAAAAGCCAAAAGAGACAACCCCATGCATAATTCATGGACCCCCCCCGATTGAAAAAAAAAGCCAATTCAATATCTACTTTACAATTTCACTCTCAAACGGGCATGGATATGGTTGCTATGACACATAACAATGTTATAGTCACACAAACTTTAAACATTGTTTAAAAAAAAAAATTGATTATAACTACAACATTACCTTAAAAAAATTGCAAATGGAGTAGAAGAAAACGAAGATAAAACGTTAAATTTTATAAAATTAAATATTTATTTTTTTAGAAATTACAAATCAGGCGAACGGCGAACTTGTTCTTGTTCTGCCACATGGTTGGCTCCGCCTAATATCTTGGTGAATCGAAAAAATCAATAGGAGAATAAATACTGTTAACACACGTGTATTATCAATAAATTATTTTTATTTTCTTCTTTTATAAGTTTTCATTTTCTCCTAAGCGAAAAGATATTGAACCCATATACCTTTCGATGGTTTTGAAATTAACCCTCCAACTTTTTTTTTTGAAATATTTGAATCCTATGACTTTCATATTAAAATAAATCAATTCATATACTTTTCAGTTGAAATAAATTAACAAAAATCTAATGTATGACATCATGAAACGTCAATTTACTATGAAACCCAATTATTTATCGTTAATATATTGCTGAGTTGGTGCATGTAGGATCCGATTTAATGACATGGCATGACCTGGATACCTTTTTTTGTCCCTTAATTGACTCTAAACAAAACCCTAAACCTAAAGTCATTTCTTATTCCAGATTGTCTCAATTAATGGCAGGAGCTTTGGAGCAGGCGAGTTTTTTAAGAAATAAATTAGTTTAGGTTAACAAATAAAGGGTCATATCAACAAAAAAAAATTATCCACATCATACCATGTTACTAAATTGAGTCTCATATGTGCCAACTCAATAATGTATTAACCAAAAATAATTAGGCTTCACGATAAACTGACATTTCATAACGTCATAAATTAGATTTGAACTAATTTATTTCAGTCAAAAAATATATAAATTAATTTATTTTAATATAAAAATATATAATTTTTTTTAACAATAATAAAATAATATAAAGATAGGATACAGTATTAACGACAAATAATTGGGTTTCATGATAAACTGACATTTCATAACATCATAAATTAGATTTGAACTAATTTATTTCAGTCAAAAAATATAT